TGGGATGGAGTTTAACTTTCTTCATAGCAGTCTGTATGGTACTTTGCTTTGGATTTGTGGTTAAAACCATTGCTAACACAGCAGTGATGTGGGTGAACAGTGCTCCAATGGCATCAAGGCTTTCTCTCTTTCTCAGTCTGTTGCTCCAGAGAGGAGGTTGGGGGTGGGCAAGAGGCTGGAAGGGGACACAAGAGACAGAAGACTCCAAACGACCTAAGGGATATCCCATACCATTTAATGTCATGCTCAGCAACAAAAGCTGGGTAGGGGAAGAAGAAAAAATGGATTATTTTGCTTTCGAGTCTCCAATTGCTCATAGACTGGGTTTTTTGCTGTTTTCTTGTCTTTTTTTTTTTTTTTTTTTTTTTTTAGCTCTTTGCTTCCCCTGTTAAATGTCTTCATATGGACAAATTAGGTTTTTTTGGTTTTGTTCCTCATATTCTCTCCCCAGTCCCACTCTTGGGATGGAGAAGTGAGCAAGCAAGCAGCTCTGAAGATGCTTGGCTGCTGGCTGGGCTCAACGTACCACATAGACCAACACTGAAATTTATAAAGTTAGGAAGTTTATAACTTTTACAGGTCATTTCTTTACTAAATGAAAAATGTGTCCTGTCATGAAAAGCTACATTGTGTCAAAATCAGAGTGTAAACTAATGAAAGTGGGACTGGATGACTCAAAGGTCCTTTGGCCCTTACAGTCCACTGCTTAAATCCAGCATGTCATGACTAGTTAAAGCCTTCAGGGAGCTTCTGTACAGACCTCAGGAAGAAGTCTGACTTGCCTTTTCTGACTCTAAAGTCCACTCAACTGTTGCCCTGTTTCTTACTTCTGCCAAGCTTTCTCAGGGATTCAAAGTCCAGACTAGGGCACAGCAAGGCACAATCCCAATGAAACCTGTGCCTGATAACTCTGTCATTACAGTGGCACTTGAGAATCCTACCCAAAACAAGACATTTATCTCCAAAAAACCCTCTGTATTACCTAAGAATCAAAAATGAATTAAAATGTATCTCCCAGCTGTAGAGAGAAATACAATTTTGGAAGAATTTGTATCAGAAATTTAGTAACTCGGTTTTCACTAGGAAGGCTTTCTGCCTAAACGGTAACTCTTTCTCAAAAGCAGTTTCAATGCTTTTCCCCCCCTACCACATACCAAGAGAAGCTCTCAGCTTCTCTGTCTGATATGTGAGAGGAGAGAGAGAGCCCTAACAGACATGCACAGAGGTCTTGGGAAGGAGTGGGAGAAACAGAGAGGATAAAAGAGGCCCTGAGGGAGCGAGAACTTGCCTTTTTTCCCCCGGAGGCCCAGTGCGCCACATCATAAAAAAGTGGTCCTTGCATCTGAAAAAATCTTTTTTAATCCTTCCACTTGCTTGGCATTCTTGGGAAGAATACCTGAGCATGTTTACCTTGCACAGCACTCCTGTGCCCTACTGGGAATTGGAGAAGCATTATATGAAATCACTGGTACACAGTCAGACATACTTTCAGCTCGTTTCTTGAGTATAATATGAATTGCCCTTACTCTGATAACTGTAAAGGCTTAGAATTCATCATATAAGATTTTAATTCACTGAAATTAATTAATCTAACACTTTTAGGTATTTGTTTTTAAAAATTTTAAGCCAAAATGTACCATAATTATTCTGCTGCATCATAATGGCACACATCTGACCATATTCCACTTGTTTATTAAGTTAGAACCAAATAAACTATAAACAAATAACTACACAGGTATTAGTAACTTAGCTTAAATATTACTAACATTTTTACTACTAATAATAACAGCAATTAATAGTCTGACAAACTATGAAGGTGTAGTTAATGTTAGTATTTTCACATTTCATTTTGACTGCAATATGCATAACAACTTTTAAACCAATTCAGAGTAAGCAATGGACTGCTCTACCAGTAAAGGTAGCCATTTGTTCTTTAAACTACCTAACAATATACATAGACTATTGCAACAGATTCATCAATGCTGTACAAAGTGCAAGAATGAGTCAAGAAATACAGACAGCAGTGCTACCCTGCTAAGTGAATGGATTTATGAACAGCCACCAAGACCAGTTAATAATGGGTATAATCAAGAATATGAAGATATGTCAATAATAAGAGCTTTAGGTGACACTGGAAGGAAAATGATACGAAAAAGAAGATATGAGCATGTGTGCTGTGTGCTACTCCTGTCAAGGTAGAAAAGAAACATACACACAAATCTCTTCGTAACATGGAACGCTTTTTGTTCAAGTACTTATTTCAAGTTAAAGAAGTTTCCACTCCACACAGCTACAACTGAAATGAGCTTTAGTGTATGTAACTATCATCAAAATACTGTAAAAGCTATTTACACTGGGTTTTTTTCTACTTCAAACACAAGAACACAGTCACAATGTTTTTTTTTTACCCAGGTTAAGGCCTCTTCTTTGCTTTAAAAATGCAGTTCTGTAAAACAGTATCTGCCCACTGTAATGACAGATTGACAGAGAGGAATTCCTCACATGTTCCCAGTGCACTGTCTGACCTTATTTCTAACTCATATTCCCCATATTTACATACATAAATTCCTACAACTCCTTCTACTCTTAGCTATTTAGCCAGCTATGCCACCTCATAATGCACGTTCCAACAGAATGAAAATACCTAATGCAGTTTTAAAAGTCATAATTTATATGTTTTTAAAGAAATATTAATTACCAAAATAATCTTGGCAGGTAGATACGCTACATAGTTTACTGCTGAAGGGCTTAAGTCTATTGCTTATGTGCCATATCTAAGATTATAATAAAAATTACTTGGGTCAAAAATGTGTCAACTAAAATAGTTGTGGAATGTAAGTAAATAACAACAATACAGCTAAACTACATAGAAAGAGATTATCATAATTTGCATACTTGAGGAAATGCAACCTTGGTATGTGTAACTTGAAGGAAATGAAGACTTTGACAAAGTATTTAAATTACTGCATTTTTTCCCCAGTCAAATATTTCAAGCTGAATAGTGTGTTTCAAATTTGCTAATCATGGTAAATATATTTTGTGAATGGAAACAGTTCACAGAATAAAATGGCAAAGGCTACAGTCTTATACATTAATTGTGCAGTAAGAACTGGGTACACACTGTTCACTAGATTCAGCTTTATCACTAGCCATTTTTTGTGAAATGTTTCCTTTCCACATCAGTAAAAATGCCAAATAATTACAAGAAATTGATCTGATCATTTGATTGCTTTTGATGAAAATGCTGGCTACTGCACTGAGAGCAAAATTTGACTTTCAAAGAAACAGATAGGCTGTGTTCGAATATTTGGATGGGGGAAAACAGTTATGAAGAATCTCTTTTAATTATTATTATTATTTTTATTATTATTTGGACACTGGGAACTAAACAATGGTCTTTCCTCCTCCTCTGCCTAAGCTGGGAACTAACTCCATCTGCTGTCATACATATTTAGATTTCCAGAGCCAGTATATCAAACTTTAACTGTGGATGTAAATACATAGTTCATTTCTTTTCCAGAAAAAAGAATCACTTGAAATTTTGTATTTTGAGACTCTTTTAAAAATAAAATCCTTACTGCATATAATACATGCCTCTTAATTTTAAAGGTAAAATTATAAATTGGGTTAAATATTAAGCGGTTAAATACAGGGAATGTTTATATATTTAACATGGAGTTTTAGAGGGCAGAAATACAGCCATTCCATCCTTTAAGATGTGAGGTGTGAACTTCATCTCAGCCACTGACGCAGTTCTGTGAAGAACTGAAGGAAACAGTCACTGAACCAAAGTCACCTCCAAGTACACGAAGCACAAAGAGGTCAATGCACTCAGCAAAACCCTTCAGCTCTAACCTTTTGTCAAAAAAAAAAAAAAAAAAAAATTCATACCTAATCTAGCAGGTATAACTAGAAGGTGCATTTAAAAAACCATCTAATTCAGATAACTCATATACTTAGATTTAGTTCTTTTCTTTCCACTTTATAACACTGCCTCCACTTCAGATCAATGGTCCTTCAAATGAAGGTCAATGGAATTTCTGCAGTTTTTCACGCACTTCTCAGAAGCAGCTGAAAGCTGCTTCCAAAGAAATTGGACATAAACTTCTACTCTGAAAGGTTAAAAATTCAGAAAGTTCTGGGGAATCGAAAAAAATATATTATGTAATATGTTCTACCACCTAACACCAACAGCATGAAGACATTATTTGTCATCTTCCAGTCCGCAGCCTTTGTGGGCAACCTATCCCAGTCACTCTCACACTAAAGTGTTTCCTGATGTTTTGACAGACCCTCCTGTGTTGCGACCATTCCCTGCTGATCCTGTTCCATCTTCTCCAGGTATCTATACAAATTGGTAAGATCCTCTTGATCATTCTCTTCTCCAGGATACACAATCACAGCTCTCCCAGCCTCTCCTCATATATCAGATGCTCCAGTCCTTAATCGTCTTCATGGTCCTGCAGTGGACTCAATCCAGAAATTCTATAACATTCTTGTACTGGGGAACACAGGACTGGGTAAAGCACTCCAGATGTGGTTTAGCCTCTTCCACGTAGAGAGGAAGGATCACCACCTTTGAACTGCTGGCAACGCTCTGCCTAAAGCAGGGCAGGTACTGACACCTTTGCCTTGATAGTATATTGCTGGGCCATGGTCTTTTTGTTGTGCTTCAGTATCTCCTTCTGTGCAAAGCAGATGTAGGAACTTGCATGTTTCTTAGTTGAGCTTGATGAGATACTCTTCAGTCCAATTCTCCAGCCTGTCCAGGTCCCTCTGGACCATGTGTATATGTTCAGCTCCACATAACTTAAGAACCTCAAGTTAATGACCTAATATATGAAGGATGGAGCCTTAGACCTTCAGGGACTGGAGAGAGAACTCCTGGTAATCTTATTAGGACTACAGTTTACCTTCAAATCTCTTAAATATATACTCTGATATGGAACATGTAGACAAGCTAAAGGAAAATAGTAATTGAAGCAGTCACTTCCAATTACTTCATCTGGTATTAAGGATTATTTAATACATCCAGAGCTAGAAGTTTAACAGTAATTACAGATTTCAAGATGCATTGTGTATAAATTACATTACAGTGTGGAAAACTGGACAGAAAACACTTCACAGACTTATTGGACCACAGAAAAATATACAGGATAATAGCATACATGCCATATAGTTATCTAGAAAAACAAAAGAAGATGGGAAAAAGGATTGAAATTGATGTTCATATGAAGAGGGAGCTGGGAGAAAGGATGGGTATTGAAGTTCATATAAAGAACTGCTCTTGAAGAAATAAAGTACTTGTCTAGGTATCAGATATTTATAGATGTATAAATGCTCATCTGGATGATGAGCATTACTGCTTAGCCTAGTACTCACAGCCAATTGCTATTTGTATTAGCTAACAAAAGAATTGTTGCATTTTATAGTGATCTTCATTTCCAATCTCTACACACAAAGGTGACCAAATTTTTCAATCTCAGAGCACGTTTCAGAGTCGAGTCTTTTTAGGAAAACAGAGCTCTTGGGAAAACACAGAATTACTCCTGAATATCCTAGACAGAGTAATTGATATGTTCACATAAAAATTCACTGCATTTCTGAAACATGAAAATCATGAAAACCAAGAATACAAGCATTAATTGAATGCTACATCCCAACACTATCCAATTTCCACACAGGAATGAGTTTCTTTCATTTCAAGGACTGAAGTGATCTTCCTCAACAGCTCTAAGAAGAGGTGAAGCTGTTCTTTGCCTCACCATGCAGAGAGTGAAGTTTTAACTGAAGACTTGGGCTTACAACACCTGGGCATGCCCTCTTTACCTTTTGTCATGCAAAAGAGCCTAAAGTAACTTCATTTATGTTATACTAACAACATTCAGTTATGGAGAACACTAACTTAACTAATGGTTAAAGACAGACTTAGGTGGTCTATGTTTTTTCCTTTCATAGTCAGCTTCATGAGGAGAAATGGAAACCTATTGTATTTTTCTGTTCTCACATTGAAATGCCAATTTTCTGGTCTCAGTAGGTGTCATGTTGTCTATCCTTAGCAAAATTATAATTAAATTGTAAGGCACCAAGTCCTACAGAGCTGTCCAGTTCATAAATCTGGAAAGTAGATTTCTTAATGCTTCTCCATCTTTCCCTAGTACAATTATAATTGCACGAGTTCTCTCCTTTGTCAGTATACAAAAAATCTTTTTCAAATTTGCTGTTCCTTTGTTGCATATGAACAAAAAATGGTGGTAACTGATCTGACTATAGGAGAAACAGTGTAGCCACACAACTTACATTCTTGAACACAAGTCTTTCTTTGGGAGAATATGAAATTCTTTAAGAAAAAAATTACTCCCTGACCAAATAATACCTAAATCATGTGAGACACATCTCTGGAGTATAACAGGATCTCAGACTAGCTTCCAAAAATCAATAAACGTATTTCAGCATAGAATGATCTCTGCTGCCTAAGACAATCTTTATAGACCAAGAGGGAAAGATACAGATGCAGGACAGAAATTATATGTTCTTAATAGTCTCTTAGGCTTTGTATGTCTTACCTGTCTAAGTATATTTCTGCACAGAATATTTAAACAAGAAAAAGTGTCTTAGCATATCCTTAGCATAATCTGAAGTAATATCAGAAGAGATATTAACATTGGGCTTTGTAATTAAAAATATGTTCATTCTCATGATAAAATATTACCTTAGCCATCTCATTTTCTAGGTTTGACTAATGATTTTCAAAAGTATTCATAAAATCTGAATCAAACCCCAAACAAACCAAAGCAATGGTTTCCCAGACAACACAGCTAGAAGAGCTAGTAATGCTTCAGTAGAAACTGAACCTTCTATTTAAATTATAAGTATTGTTTGCAATTATATTCATTGCAACACTTATCAACAGCATCATGGTACAAAGTAGGTAGGAGTTTTTGCAAATTTCATTTCCTTCACCCTTCTAAGATATTAGTAATGTATTTTTGAAAAATAGTTATACAGCCTATTTGTGTAGCAAGTCCATCAGAAAATTCTGATGAGTGGAGGTTCTGCTTTCATCCACACAAGGACTACACCTAAAATGAATCTAAAAGAAGCAACAGAATCTCTTTCAGAAGTATTCTTGAAATTAAAAATTCATTTATTTCATTGGGGTATATTTTGACAAAAGAGATCACTAACTGATTTTCAACTCCACTTATATAGGACTTGTTAAAAAGGACTTCCTAATACCTTAGGCTTTTGTGAGAAACGTAAACAAGGTGGCAAGGATTCCTTTTCAGCACAACTGATTATGATGTTTTAACAGAAAATTCTGGTTATTAGTCAGCACAATTAGCTAGGAAAGAGCCATAACAACTGAAGAACTTGCAAAGTGGTAAAACCCCCCTGAACTTTGTCCATTCAAAAAGGCTAATATTCACTCCCTGAAGAATTCAACTACTGTTGAAACAAAGTTGAAGAAGCTCTGATCTTGTTGGATTTCTCAGTGTTTCCCTCAGTGAAAAAGAGTTGTTTCAAGATTCCACCAGAATTCCAGAACAGGTATTACCATTGAATCAGAGACTTCGACCGTAGCAGATCAACATGAAAGGAGAGAAATTTTTAATAGCATTATCTACTATTGCTATTCATGCTGAAAGTTATCCTCTCTATAAATGAGAATGCAAGTGAGCGAGGCACAGGTGCCTTGGTAGACCAAAGGTAACTTATTTCAGCTTTAAATGCAAAAATGCTGTCCTACAGATCTGGAAATCACACAACCTATCCTGTTTTCACTGTATACAGAATCTCCTGCATCCAGAAAGAGTTGCTGTTCAAAATGAAAGTGAGGGGCCTTACACTGGCCTTTTCCTTTTTTTTTAAAATTTCTTTCATTATCAAAAACAGTACTAAAATAATTCAATCTCATGCTCATGAATGCTAATTTGATGCAATCTACATATAAATATAAATCAGGTGGTTACATGCTGGAGAGGATTTCAAACAGTTATGGAAGGGTTTTTTTTTTTCCTTAGCCACAGGTTTTTCAGTTGTTCTTAGGAATTCTAAAATTTCATACATGCTTAATTCAACCTCCAATTTTTTTTTTTTTAAATTTTTTACATAAACCAACTTAACCCTACACTGATAAACCAGTACTCTTTGCTTTTAAATAAATGGTTGTGGATTTTAGCATTTAGACATTAAGACTGAAGATCCTGAACTTAAGGTATAGCATTCCATGAAACTTATAAATGAACTCTTGACAAAAGATTCAAGAAAATATATTTATTCAATTTTGGCAGAGGAAGAAAATATAATAAATATGACAACTTCTTATACCCTTTACAAGCTATTTTTATATCACACTTCTGCTACAAATTTCAGTGTTTCAAATTTTAAAAGAACACATTCACTGAAAAATTAAGACATTTTAATGTGAAAAAAATACACAAAATAAGAGTGCACATGTTTTATTTTTTGTAGCTAGTGCGTAATCTTCAAGTCCTTTAGAACACTGCAAGAAATGCTTTAGATCAGTAACACTTGAGAGCATCCAATTAATATGCACAAGTGAATAATATAGATTGTAATTTTTCATGATATTACATTGATTTGTCTCTCAACTGAAAAAGAATTTTCCAAATTTCTGTTATTATGACAACACAAGCCTTTTACAAATCCCACACTCAAATCCCCAGCTGAAGCAGAATGAATTTAAGTGGAACCTCCTCAAAACAAGACATCCACCAGGCAAGCACTATTTCCATTCTGACATGTTTATACAGTTCTTTGGAGTGCAATTCATACTTTCTCAGCAGAAGCAGACTCAAATCCATTAGGATCTTTATTTTCACAAGCAGCAACCGGGGCAGCAATCCCTGAGATTCTCCAGGCAGCCTGTAGCTGTGTTTTGACAGCCATCATGTCTCGCTACTTTTTTATGTGCCATCTACTCGAACCAGTTTTCTTTCAGTAAGAAGCGTACAGCATCATCAAAGCCATTTTGGTACAATGATTCCATTTTCTCCTGGTCTGGTGGGAACAAAGCTTGATTAAGTCTTACTAGGTTGGCCAGTGACAGCTGCAACAGAGCAAGAAGCTACAAATTAGTTTATTAAAGCAACTTATCTAGACGTGACTGTTTTGTCATGTGTTTCATGTAGCATATGCAAAAACAAAAGACCAGCATGGCTGTGTCTACACCAGGAAATTAACCACGTCCAGGTTCACTACTGAGCGCCAAGGCAAACTGGCACAAACAACACATACACGCTATTAAACTCACAGCATCCAACACAGACTGTCTGCCTGTAAAACTGCCCAAAGTTTTTGAAACACTTTAAATCTGGAAACACTCCCAAAACTGTCTGGCAGAGTGGTAGCTGGCACAAGCTAAACTTGTGCAAGGAAATATTTTGACAACTTACTAGTGCAAACAACCACATCCTAGGGAACATTCCCAGGCAACGTTTACATATGAGTATAAACGTAGCTTTTATTACCAACAAATTAAGGACTACTCAGCTTTTTAAGTGGTCACTCCATCATGTAAAAGTATTTTGGAGCTTTATTCTTGAATACAGACTTTATTAAATTATGGCCAAATAAAAAAATATAATTAAATTCAATAATGTTCTGAACAATTCATTTATATAATTAACTTTATATTTTAGCCACATAATTTATTATACACAATTTTGCAAAACAGTATCAAAATCATCTTCATTATTTAAAGTAAATAATTATTCAAATTCATCCTAGAAGATGCAGGCGATTCAAAGAGACAGAAAATTGTTAACATTCCAATACAGGTAAATGAAGATATACAACTCTTCAATTTATGCAGATAACAATATTGCTGGGGAAAAAAAATATTCTTAGTGATCGTTCTTACAGTTTTAAGAGCTAGAGATGCTTCAAATCAAATAGTTTAAAATGTTTCCTGAGATTCTGCACAAGTCCGCACATGCATGACCCCAACAGCAATCAATTTTCTATTCTAAACTAATCAGCAACTCATTTTAACTCCTCTAGATACACTAGTTATTAGATACAAATATGACCAAGAAATACCCAGTATTGTGTATATTTTTGAAATATATGAAATAAGTAATCTACTTTATGACCTTTTGCCAAGTACTACCATGCTTAAAATCTCTCTGTGAAACATTATAAAGATTCAGAAACTGGTCCAATTTATAATGAAATTATATAACACTAATTTTACTAAAATTTAAGAAAACATTAAAAACTGTCTAAAAAGAAACTTCAAGTGCCAATTGTTGTTAATCTTTATTGTTTCTTCCTAATGGAATATTGTTGACCACTAGATCTATCTTTATTCAATGTTTTCTTTCATCATATCAAAAGAAGCAAGACTGATTAAAATTTATGAGACAAAGGTTGCAAATACAGAAATGTCAACAATGAAAATGAGGCAATAAAAACCAGTCTTAAACCTCAACATACAGAAATGTTTCTGCAACTTCTAACAGGACTTCTGCAAAAGTGTTGTGGTCACAGGTGTTCACATGCTCTCTTGAGCAATGTGGTGACAAGTCATTGTATATCATTTCAAATGTAAAACTTAAACTTGTATTTTAAAATCAGTTGGAGCAATAGAGTTCAATAAATATGAAGAAATGTTCTGGAGTTTTCCTTTACTGAGGTATTTAATTTGATTTTTTCCCTATAAACACTGTACCTAGCCATAGACTGATGACATGTAAAGCAAGCCTAATATTATTTACATTTTACAGCCTGCTATAATGTGCTCGATTTGTACTAGATCAATGATTTTCAAAATTCCTTCTTTATTCTACATTTTCCTTCCCTTGTGTCTAAGAAAAGGTTTAACCTCCATTTGCAAATCAGAAAATGCCAACATTTTACATAAGTTGACATATAACACAAAATAGACAAATATAAACATAAACTTAACTGCAGAAGTACCTTTTATTCTTTTTAAGTTAATTAATAAACAAGTATCTCACCATCATATCTTGTTTTGCTAGTTTAACATAAAGATCCACACGTCCTTTATCTTGTGGACAGATATCCAATCGACCACTGAAAGGAGAAATCGTCACAGTTCTTCCAACAGGCAAGATAGGAAGGCCATTGGTAAGGCCACCATCAACCCACTTCTGTTGGGAAACAGAAATATTTTCCAAGTTACTCTAGTACAGTATGATCATAATGGAATACCTTGTCCTTCCTGACTCTGCCTCCTCCAGTCCACTCTCAAGAAAACTTACAAGTTTCCTTCTAAGAATACAATAGATAATATTGAATATGTGGCATAAACAATAAGCGAACTGACAATGTACACACAGAGTTATGAATCAATGACCATTTGACATATTGTGCATATTTGTGTGTAATGTATCTATCAAGCTACTGATAAGGCTTGTTGGTTAATCTAATAATAAAATGCCCCATACAGAATGTTTCTCAACACATACATAAAAATATAAGATTGTTAATATTACACATGAATCAAATTAAGTACCATATACTCCTCTAGAACATTATTCTGATTAAAACTAGGAGCTGTACAATCTGTATGTGCAGGTAAAATGACTGTACAAGTGAAACCACACGACTCCTCCCCTCTTTTATTTTGTGATTTTTTTTCCAGAGCCTCACATCTTCCTACTTACACTACACAAGACAGCAGTAGCTGGAAAGTGGAGGGTAAAGGTGGGAAGGAGTTGAACAACTATGACACAGGAGGGAGTAGACAGGAGTTAGGTATGGTGAAGAATGAGATCTAGGAGCACAGATCTGATCTTTAGAAGGACCACGTCCAAATTCTATTCCAATATAAGCAAGACAACTATGAAATTTCTTGCTAATATATTTTATATCTTCATATTTATTTCTGTGCTTACATGCATAACCTGAAACTCAACACCCCTCTGCTGGCTAGATGCATTCACTAACATCATACATGAGGTCTGATGACCAGATGCATCTCACTAAATTCTACACTTCTTTTATCATCCCAGAGAGAAAAAAAAGTCACAAAAGCTAAAACCCCCCACAAATCAACAAAAAGCTCTCAAAAAAAGTATATGTTTAGGAAGGTTTTTATGACATTCTGAACATTTGTACACTGTCCCCCCCATACCACCCTCTTCTTTGCTATCTCACATGAATTTTATGTTCCTGATTTTAAAATATAAGCTACAAATACTAACATTCAACAGTTTCCATGGCCCTTTTCATCTTGTGACTTCATTGTATGCTTTAGCACTTGACTCTTGACATTAGCTGATGTCAGCACCCATAATCCACCACTGAATTCCTTCACTTTGCACAAACATCATATTTCTCAATGCTTAGGATTGAGATGGTTTCATCTTGGAAAAGAAGGCAAAAATGAATAAAATTCCAGAATGACAGCTATCTTTCAGATTTCTCAAACTCCCATTACAGCATTGCTGTGGTAGCTGTGAGTAGAGTTGCAATATACCATAACATTTCTAACACCGCAGCTTTTTTGTGTGTATTTATAAATAGTAATTTATTACTGATTCATTTGCCATGTTCCTTGTAGTACCAAGTGGGTTTTTGTTGCATTTCTTACTGTGAAAAGTACAGTGGATGCCCTGTCTAAGCCACGTCAAAGGAACCATAACAGACGATATTAATAATGTTTTTCACAAGTCTAGTTTAGCACTTCTACAACTTCAAAGTTTTCACATTTCTAAAAATTCTGATTATTTATTTTTCTCCCCTCTCCTCTTATGTAACTTCAGCATTTATTTGAAAACCAAAACATTTACCAAGGCATCCCAATTATTGTTATTTAGCACTATTTTCTGTAGATTTTGTTGGTTTATTTTCTTTTGAGCATTTGGGAGAAACTGCTTTTCAGTCAAAAATACTTTAGCTCCACAGTCCCTTGTTCTTCATAGTTATTAAACATTTATTTGCTGCAGACAAAGAAAAGTGATGTCCCAGTTTCTTTTAATTTCTTGAATTAATTTCTTAAATTCTTGAAAGATGCTTCTTAGCTGATGAGACAAATTCCTGGTAACTTCCAAATTAGTGTCACTAATATCTAGTACAGTGCAAAGACAGAGAAAGTTTTGAAATAACATGCAATGAAAACCAAATCAGCCAATGAAAATGAGGATGTGGGCTTGACCTAAAAGAATCTACCTGTTTACCAATTTAGTTTTCACAAAGCTGTTCCGTAAGAACTACAGTCACACAGACTACAGACTCATCATCAGATACAGTCAACTAAATCATCTGCTCATCTTCATCTGTCTTAAAAATTAAACCTTGTCAGAGACTCAAAGGACACCAAACTAAGTCAAAGAAAGATAATTTCACACGGATCAGATTTGCACCGGTGTTACTGGAAGCCTAGTCCAAGGGTACCTGAAAAACCCAACCCAGGTAACAAATTCTCATATATTATCTTACACTTCTTTTTTTGTCAGATTATTCTTAGGCTCATCAAATCAGAAGAAAATATAATATGAGGAGACTAATGTTTCATCCACACTAACATGAAATTTAGCTTATCACATCCCAAGAGCGTAGGCTGAAGGCATGCACACTTACAGGTAAACTAACTAAACCCAATGTGAAGCCAAATGCTCCCCAGAAAGTATTCTTCCTAAAAAGAAAATTAAAGTGCAATGAACCTTAAACTGAACCCTAGGGTTCAGTCTCTGTAAGCAGTATGGGCAGGCTAGCAAGGTTTAGCTAGCACCATACTTGCCTACTTACCATGCATAATGGTAGTAGTAACATAGCACAGGTAATGTAGTACATTTCAAAAACAGTTCCAGATGACCTGGTGATATGTGTGCAGGTGATATACGTAGCCCAGAGAAGACCCAGATCAACTGCTCTAAAGCACAGATAAGGCCAGTAGACTCAGGCAGCTAGCAGGCAGTAATCTGAATTCCATGCTGCCAGGGACCTACAGCCTAAGGAATTTACCTCCTAAACCAGTGTAAATGCAGACAGACAGAACTTAGGTATAGTGAAGAATATATACTGGTCTGTTACAGTAAAGCTTTCAGGAAGCTTGAAATATGATGCTTTATGATGGGTGACTGTGCAAAGCCAAATCAATATCCAATCCATCTTATCAACTTAGTGCTTACCATGCCTGGAACATGTTACATGCTGTGTATCTGGGTCCACCATGTGTGCTTCTGGGCCCTACTACACACCCACATATCCTCATTCCAAACCAAGGAAATAGTATCGCAAGGGAGACCCCAAGGTTTTGCTCTCACCTTGCTCAGAGCACTAAATAATGGAAGTCACAAGCATCTACAGGCAACAGTTTTCTCAAAAAAAAAAAATAAAAAAAAAAATAAAAAAAAATCCTAATCCACAAATGCACTGTTTTACAGAATATGAGAAAAGTCAGTGCAGACATGCAGAACTAATCAATCCAACAAATAACAATAAATGAAAGCAACCTCATTCCCAGAAACTGTCTTTTCTGCATCTCACTAAAGGAAAGCAGTAAGAAGCTTTGGGAATGAAAAGAAGCTTTCAAGTAAGAGAAGAATCAGTTTCCATGAAGCTTTCATTGATTTACCTTTTGAATGCAAAAAATAAACACAGGCAGCAATGAGAACTGCCCCATAGAAGAAAGGTTGCAGTAAACACTACAGAGCTAAAAAAAAAAGTCTAAAAAGGCTTCAGTAAATATCACAATACCTATTCAATCATAATAGAACTGTTATTCCAATAAAATGGTGTTTAAATAAGTTTTGGACAAAACTCTGGGACAACTTTTCAATTTCTTAATTGAAAGAATACCACAAAAAATTTAACAATGACACTTTTTTCCCTTTAACTAATAGCAGAATGAACCTAAAAATCCATATATCCCCTTTGAAGCAGCACAAGCAACAGACTCCAATCAACAAAAAATTCCAGACCCTGGGAAGCTGTAAGCAGTCTCCATTTAACTCGAGCAGTCAAGCAATATTGATTTAAACCCTTCAAATATTTCAGCTGATATGTATTGTCATATATATAATTCTCAAGCTGAAAAGCTTTCTGACATAACAACTATTAGCTAGGGGCAAATATATATGGTTTTGTGCAGCTTTTTGGCAGGGTGGCTGTGAGGATTATGGAGATTTCAGAACAATCATTTGTATGAATACAAGGAAATAAAGGAAGAAGTATCATGTAGTTTTTCTCAGAAAGAAATAGCTAATTTCATGCCTCTAAAATTAGTCTTACAGTGTTAATATATTTCTGTAAGAAAGACGAAAACATTCTTGAAGCTAAATTGAGTTAAGACAACTGTGAAAAGGCTTTCTTATAATAGTGTATGCTCCTGGAAATTTCCTAGTTGTATACTATAGGGGGAAAAAAGTTTATTCTTTAAATGTTTTTCCAAAGGTAAGGGATTTGAAGGTACCTGGTAAGCATGTAATTCTATACAGAACACGAGAACACACATGAAAACACATGTACTCCAGCAGCATCCAACTTGCCAAGAACCTCCCCTATCATTGCTTCCAACAACCAGAAAGAAGATTGTTGCTCCTCTAAACTGCAAAATAAACCATTTTAAAGCTGATAACACAGCTTGTGGCGAGAAGAATCTTTAGCAAAACAAGCTGCTTCTCATGGTAAGTGTCAGACACTATCTTTAGAAACAGCTTCACACTACAGAGATCATTTCAGTCTCAGTACCCACAATTTCTGAAACAATGCATGAGCAAACTCATATTAACTTTCCTGGTGTTAATCTCCAACATCAACAGAAACAATAACTGTCTTACAAAATACAGTACTGCAGTTGCTTTCCCTTAAGATTAAATAGTTACATCATAAATGAAGAACACATAAAAAGAAAGTTGGTAGTTTATGAAAAATTACCTCTCCTTTATATTCCACTGCCTTAATTCCTGCATATACTGGTATAAAGCTACTTGCTAGCAGGACCTAGAGAGGAGAAAGCAGAAAGAATAGAGGAAAAAAAATTAAAGGCATCAAAGTAATTTTAAATGAATACATATTTTCATACCTATTTATCTATATTGAATACTACAGCAGTAACCACTCAATATATTAGTTTAACATAAACCCACTGTCATCTCAAAATGTCTTCTTGTTGTGGTATGTCAAAATGTGATTAAAATTATTCAATAGGGTTGGCTTTTTTTTATGACTTGACAGTGACAAGTCTCAAAACAAAATATCAAAAATTAACTCATTGATTTATGTGATTCCAAAGAGTATGAGCTTAGTATTGCACAAAGTAAGTCTATAGTTTGTCAGAAACTAAATATGCATATGCTGAAAAAAGAGAAATATATTGTCAAAGAAACTAACCCGGTCATTCTGTTGCCATATTAATATAGTGTTTACTCTTCTAATAAATCAGATTTTCCAACTTTCAAAAATATTATAAATATCCCAAAAATTCAAACATGTATATCTTTATCAGTATCAGTACTTTTCATTTAATACATCCAATACTTAACAAATTACTATTTCCCCTACTGTAAGTCTTCATTGCTATCTACAGCAGCTCTCAGTTTTTTGGGGTTATTTTAGACCAGGACACTGTTCTGTCATGTACAGATTTACACACACACATATCTTTCTATCCATTCATAGCAATGCCTGTGAGAGAATGTGTGTTTCTCTATACCTATGTATCCACTCACATATATATAAGCAACCAGTATACAGCATTTCAAAGAGAAGGGATAAATGCATGGACAAAGTGCAATATGTCAGAATTTTTCATAGGGCTAAACAGGATGAATCCATGTGCTTGTGTAGTGGCATGAAAAAACAATTTGGGGAACAGAAGTGGGTCCCAAACTGGTGTATATACTACATGAATGATCAGATGCAGAAAAACTCACAAGCCACGCAGATTATGGAATAAAATGCCTGAGCTTTTTTGAGTGGAATTACACTTTTACAAAAAAATTAAGCTACATTCAGTATTAAGCACCTCTGCTCCCTTAAAAATTTTAATTAAGACTGTATTTGTACACAAAGTCTTCAACTCTGAGAACTCTTCTCTTGCCTATTTCCCTTCCCAGTGATGTAGAGCACCAGACCTTTGTCTGAGCTCAGATAAAAAGTTTCCTTATGAAAAATGCAGCTATTTTCCCTCACAAAAGCATAACACAGGACTCCCAAGTTCCCAACATCAGCATCTTCACCTGCCCAACTTCCTTTCTCCTCTCTCCTTCAACCCACCTCAGCAACTTTGTCCCTTTTAAAGGGAAAAATGTTTAGTGAAAGAAAAGAATCAAAACGAGGTGACCTCTGCAAAACCTGAATTCTTTTCAAAAGGACTGAAGAAAGCAGTTGTTTTTCCTTCTAAAGTCACTTAGATCTCAAGAGTGAGGAGAGGAAGGACAAATTTTAAGAACACTTTCAGTATTTCTCTACCACTAACAGACTACTGTGGAGTTCAATACACTGCTCCCACCTTTCCAAACTAAATACAACAGTCTTCTGTGCCGTCCTCCCTCACAAACACACAAATCATGCCTCTCTTCCCTGTCACCTCCAGTTTAAGAACTGCAAGTCTAGGAACGCTGATATGAGATGATTGTGTTCACATATGTAAAGACTATTTCAAATGAGGGAGATTATTAACTGACTTCCCATGTCCACAGGGAAGAGTAAAAAAGATAAAAGCTTAAAAATGTAACAACATATATTCAGTTCAGTCATTACGAAAAGCTTTGGAAACCATAAGGCTTGTTAAGCACTGAAACCAAATGTATATGGAAGTTGAAAGATTTCTGACAGAGGGTACAGAAGTTTTGCTGTTTGTAAAACAGTTTGCTCAGCAGTATCTTTATCCAGCCTTGGATGTAGCAGGTCATGTCTAGGTCTCATGCAATCACAGAACCAAACAATCTCTACCCTCCACGCTACTGCAGCAGCCACCAGCACTCAGACAGCTGTACACATGACACACGCAGAGGTGAAGGTATGCACAAAAACATGTATTATGACCTGCACTGAAAAATCAGACAATATGAATGTATTCCAAAGAGCAATTATTTGTAATATTATTACTATTATTCCAATTCATTCTAATGCTACCACTGAGAACAAAAGAATAGAACAGAAATGGCTAAATCAAAGAGAGAATTATTGAAAGAGTAATAATATGTTCATATTTCCACGGTCATCCTGACATTTCTAATTCTCTCCAGGTTAGAAGTTTTCACTGCAAAAACACATATACCTACAGAATAATAATCTCCATGCTTGTCACTGCTAGTTACTTCCTATAGTTAGAAAAAACAGTGCATAATTAGAGATAAACTTTTTGCATAATTATATTTGCATGATGAAGTCTTAAAAATTATGAGAACTAACATAATAGGATCAAGATTTTTTAAAATGATACTTTAAAGGCAAACTCCCAATGTATAGTTTGAGATTTTGTAAACAAGTGTGATTTTTTTTAAGTGATAACTGTAAAGAAACTCTTATTTGCTCTAAGGATCCACAAGCATAGCAAAAGGAATTCCTTCTTATTCTTCTTCCTTCTTTATTCTGCTATATCTTATGATATTCTCCACTAAGATAAAATCAATTACTAGAAAGAACATGCTTTAAATGTATCTGACTTCCTCCTACAATTTAATATCAGCTTATGCATACAATCCTGATCCAAATTTAAAAAGTGACATTCAAATGAAGAGAAGGGCAGCAAAAGATATATTTTCCAGTACCAGATAAAATACAGTTTATATATAGGACTTAACATTACATGATATCTATTCCCCACAAATAGGAAGTGTTGAGGTTTTTTTTAAACTTCGTTTACTTTCTTTTGTGATGAAACTTAATATAGATAGTATCAGTGAAGCAAGAAATGCAAAAATTACTATAAAATTTCAAGAATTTTTATTTCTCATATACTGCAATGAGTTACCCTGTTATTTTCTAAAAATATTTTTTCCACAAGGTAGAATATACCTTAGTAATAACAGATTAAGGAAACACAAACAAGCATAAAATGAATTTTAGCAAAATTTAGGAAACTGTAGGATGAAATTGTGCTTCCATTGTTTATGTTATGGTTGTAACACCACTGATAGTACATGTGGTTACTTGAATAAAACAGTGATTTACTGTACAGCTAATAACATACTCTTAAGTTTTGAAGAAGCTCAAGCATTTTTATTTAATGCAGCAATATTCAACTTCATTACCTTAATGAGGTCCTCCCTGGAGGAAAAATTTGAAACCAAGTGATTTTCCCCACTTTTTGAGTTAGTGACTGACACATAGAGCCGGTTCTCAGCTATCTCATGAACATTAGAAGGAAGAATAGACTCTATGCCCTCCCTAGAGGAAAGAAAATGCTCAACATTACTCATCATCATTATATAAAAATGTTGCAAATACATTAGTGGTGAATGAAAGAGTGTTGAGCACCCCACAGTATAGAAGAAATATGTACACTCTTCATTTGCATTTGGAGAGTCCAACACAAAAGTGATCTTACAGAAGCATTAAGATAGGTACCTAAGTGTTTTCATAAAATCATAACCAGGCGTTACAGCACCGAAGTTCAATTTTCTGACTTCCTCTGCAAATCCATAGGCAAAGTGCTTACATTGCTGGAAATGAAAAACATTAACCATTAAGGATGTTTCAGTGATGGGAAGCATATTCAAGTGTAGTATCTAAAACATACTAGAGGTTAAAGCTTTAATCAAGAGAGAGCTGTAAGATCCAATTGAAATACGTTCTCATATGTGCTTGGTTTGTAACAAGATATGCATAACAAAATATTGAGACTTTCATAAGGACTAATTTGTAAGAAAAAAAAACCTAATTAAAAAAAATTATAAACTTTCACAAGTATACCACTTTAACAATCAAGGAAAGTTAAAGGCTATTTTTCTACACACTACCACTGATAAATAATCAGCTGCCTAAACCATGCCCTTACAAAAACAATAATTTATAATTCAATTCTAAAGCCACCTTTTATTTTAAAGACTTTCAGTACTAAAACCAGACACAATTACCTTAAGATGCTTAGAAGCATTAAAAACCCTAAAATTACTACATTTTTGTCTCACTAATGCAAAAAACAAGCTACTAACAAGTAGCTATATATATATATCTATATATGTATATACTATGGAAGTATTTAATGAACGGAATACTATGATGGATGACACAGGAAGAAAAGAAACCAGATAACAGTCCTGCACAGGGAACCTCTTCTACACAAGTTGAAATGCCCATCATTAATGGCTTCAGAAAAATAGCTTGAAGTGTGATCTGTAAGAACTCCCAAAGGAGAGTAATGGAATTGCTATAAATTTATTTTTTAATCATAATACGCTGAAACAATGAGCTATGATCCTGAGTGCTTAAGACTCAGTATTCAGTATTTGCAATTCTTTTTTTTACCCTTTCATGCAGACTTCCCTAATCATTTTAAGGACTTGGGAAAAAAGCAAATTCAGTCTAATGCAGCCTTCTGAAATTGGTACTCTGTAAACATATTACACCCATATTCACCCATATAACCACATGGAAAAAAGACAGTTTGGATTTTCTGGATTACTAGCTCCCTGCATGAAGGACAAATATGTTGCTAGTAACAAGATAAATTAATGAGTGACTGAAGAAAGGCATGAAAAAAAGAGAAGTGAATGTGTCCTACTGAGAAGGAGGATAAAGGATTTGATGGAAGAAAATCAGGAAGGAGCTGGAGGGAGGATTAGCATAAGATCAGGATCAAGCTGACTGAAGCACCTTTAACTTTCTCACATCCCTTGAATGACAGAGCATTCATCTAAGTAAAAGAAACGTAACTCTTGTATCCACTTTCTTTTACATGGCATTTGAATAAATGTATTAAAGTTCACTATGAGATTCATATCTCTTAAAGAAATAGTAACCATAAAGTTTAGGTTAGATGTTAGGAAGAAATTCCTTACAGAGAGGGTGATCAGGCATTGGAACAGCCTGCCCAGAGAGGTGGTGGATTCACCATCCCTGGAGGTTTTTAAAAAGAGATTGGACATGGCCCTTAGTGCCATGATATAGTAATCAGAGTTGGATCAGGGGTTGGACTTGATGATCTTGGAGGTCTTTTCCAACCCAATCTATTCTATGATTCTATGATTTGTGCTAATTAATTAATTAGGTTAGATTTGCACCTTTAGCCCATGAGGTACTTGCCTTTGCGAGCTCCAATCCAATTAAAATATATAAAATTAGTTATTAGTCTTGAATTTATTTTACATTAAGCAGTTAGGCTTCTTCTGTAGTCAATCTGCTGGATAGAGGCATATTCAGACACCTCTCTTTAAAGAGAGAAGAAACCCACAAAACCCTACAAAGAAGTACCTTAGAAGTACCATCTTTATATCTAAGAAGCTTTAATAAAGAGATGGGGAGCTAAGAGTAACAGGGAGCTGGATAAACTCAAACCTAGTTGAATGACAGAAAACTACATTCCATATTACAAATGCTAGGAATAGACCATACCTGGGCTCTCAATTCCTGTTCCCCAAATGAACAACTTCTTACAACTATGAATTGTTTTAGAATTTTATTGCTAAAAGCTTTAAACAATACATCTAAAATTTAAGTAGTGACTGAGGACATGTTTAGAAATTGTATTGAGTTAAGCAAACTTGATATCAAATAAGATCAAGGTACTTTTTAAATAAACAGGTATTTATCTATACCTATATATGCCTCCCTAGAATTCTAAAGTCCCATGCCTTTTCAGCAATGACAAAAATACGACAGAAAAACATTTGCAAACTGTCTTATTAAAACAGCAACAGTTTAAAAAAAACCCTCAATGTTATATTCACTTCAAGATAAGGACAGGTTGCATTAGAGCTCTGAGACTAGGAGATGCAGAAAGTCCTAATTATGGCTTGTCTAACATTGCCATCTCTGGGGAGAGGGGAAAAAACCAGAAAAAATAATTAACTGATTAAGAGCTATATCTGTGGATATTAAATATTTCAAGCTAGAAATGTAGTAAAGATAATAATATAATTATCCTGATATGAAAAGTTAATTCTATTCAGTACACAACACTGCCTTTACTTAAATTCCATGAGAATTAGAAAGAATTATTCCCCTTGATAAAATATCTCTCAATTTTCCATGTAAACAATATAAGAGAATAACTAAAATGTTGTGTACATAAAAAAATGAAAAGGACTAAAAAGTTAATGAAACATTCTTCAGTTTGCAATAAAATGACAAATTTTCAAAGGAAAAATCCATCAGATTCAATATAATATAGCTTTGATTTCCACAAACAAAAGCTAAAACTGTTCAAATATTTTTAGTTAGAAACATCTTTGTGATTTGGACCAGGCTGAAAACAAGTGCTCATACCCATGTATTGTAGAGCCCACAATAAGCAGAAAAATTTCCTTGGGCTAACAAAGGGCTGCTGTGCTCACCACAGAGGAAATTAAAGTCAGAGGTACACATTACACCAGGCAAACTTGGAGCTGAACCACCAGTCAGAGGTGACAGAAAGGGAGTAACACCTGAACAGGATAAGAGCAAGGTTCTTCTCACACCAGTATAACTTGCCTAATATCAAATCACATAAAGAATGCACCTGGGGAAGTCAGGTGGGAGGAAAGAAGCCAGGGAAGAACCTACTGATGAAAGCAACAAAAGTATAGCTAATGAATTCATATCCCAGCAGAAACAACCAACACACAAACTAACAAAAAGATCAGTGGCCAAGTGTGGTTTGGCTGGGACTGTTATTGAAATCAAATTCAGTGAAATAAGCAAGGCCTGGAGGAAGTTATCCAACACTTACAGAACTATAAGTGTACTTAGACCAAAAATCTTACAGCCTGTTTTTGCCCACAATAAGACATTTAAAACATTTTGGTAATAGCTGGTCCTCTACATATATTAATGCAAAGTCACTACAAGCACTTCAGAAGGGCAAAGTAGCTTTAACCTCCAGTGAAAAATAAAAATAAAAAATAATAATAAAAAAAAGAAAAAAAAAAAAAAAAAAAAAAAAAAAAAAAAAAAGTGCAGTCATTAAATAAAACTGGCGTCTCTACATGACACCAAATGCATAGTGAGAAAGGAGTGGCATCTCTGGAGGAAAAACAACCCAGACAATTGTATGTAGCATGTCAGAACAGAATGCTGCGAGGGTTAATCCTCCCAGGCACACAGTGGGGGCTACTGCTGGTAAGGCATGCGCTGTACTGAGTCTAACACACAGGCCACTTCTTATGCTGCCTAATGGAGCACAGGCAGCAAAGAAAAGAATTGAGCAAGTGTGTGGTGTTTATGAAGATACATTCCATCTACCATTTTCATGTCATTTCACAGAAGGATGAAAGGATGGTGCTATGCACTTGCTTAACAAAGCCTATCTCTAGCCAAGAAAACAATGATTCAGTTTGTAATGTATCACCATTAAGTACATATACATTTTGGTAAATTAAAGTATACCTGGTTGCCTACAACTCATCATTCACACACATAAGATTTCCATTTATGCAGCTTAAAATACAAAATTCATATGAAATATTTTTGTTATAAGCATTTTTGCCCACAAGTCATAGATGTGGCTAATGAAAACAACACACAAGAGTTTGTTCCTAGCAAATAGCAAGAAGAATAAAAACAAGAAACATAATATTTTAATAAACTTAATTGAAGATGATTATATTAAAAAAAATGTCCTTTGCAAATTATCATGGCCTATACCTACGAGTTTACTGATTTACCTCTATATTTTCTGGCACTGCTAACAAGACAGCGGCAGTCAGAGATCCCGCAGAAGCTCCCGCAAAAGCTTTCACACCTGTCAGTAACTTCTTACCATGCCTGTAAAAAGCAGCTGCTGCCCCCAAGTGGTAAATTCCCAGAAAGCCACAAGCTGAAAAGGACAGGTTGATGTGTTTCATTTGTGCTGTGGAAATAAAGTGTCACATTAAGAAAAAAGGACGGGTTAATTTCATCTGGTAATATACATCTATTCTTTTGCAATAGAACACATAACAAACCATATCTACATAATAAAAAGCAGTTTACTTAAGAGCACTAAAAACTTTTGATTACTAAATACATCAAACAAGCAGCAGTTAGTTTAGTATCTCCAAAACTGAAAACAACCCTAAAATAATGCTTAGCACAAATCCCGTTAAAAATCAATCAAAAATATATATCTTTATATACAACGTAACTACATGTTTTCATCTAATTTGTCAAAGAAATGCAAACTAAAAATAGCTACTCAAAAGCAATAAAAGAATGCCTTTGGAGAACAAACATTGTTAGCCACCTTGATGAAAAAATTCAAATTAATTATAAAACTGCTGGCTACTGTCTCATCACGTAGTAACAGGACAAGGGGAATGGATTCAAACTGAAAACAGTAGGTGCAGATTAGATATTAGGGAAAAATTCTGTACTGTGAGGGTAGAAGACACTGGAAGAGGTTGCCCAGAGAACTGTGGACTCCCCGTCCACAGAAGTGTTCAAGGACAGGTTGGATGGAGCTCTGAAAAACCTGGTCTAATGAAAGGTGCCCCTGTCCATGGAAGGGGGGTTGGAACTAGATGATCTTTAAGGTCCCTTCCAACCCAGGGTATTCTATGATTCCATGCTCATACTTCCCTTACACAAGCAGAGCCTTGAATCCACCATAATTGAAAAAGGATTTTTTTCTGTCACCTCTGAAACTCATTTGTTTACTATTATTATTGAAAAATTCTTAAAGTAATTGCTAGTTTAGAAAAAAAACCGCACAACATGTTGTTGCTACTATTTAAATAAGAAGGAATCAAAAATAATCAAAGTAAAATACAAAGCATTAAATGTATAAACAAACACATGGTCTGAAGATGTCTAGGGTAGAATTTAAAATAGAAAAAAAAACAAACGCAAATAGGAAGCATTAGTTCAGATCACTAGGAATGGTTAACTAAAATAAAATAAAATGCTGTACATTTTATTAGCTCTTCTGTTTCTGCAAATAATCACAATTATGAGAGCAAGGTATTCCACAGATTCTATTGTAGAGCTATATGAGATATTGTACACATTATCTTAGTACTAAATTAAAAATAAACTCCTACTATATTTGGGTACATCTTGACATGAATGGAAACAATCAGTCCTGATGAAGAGAGGCAAACATGTACAGCAACATATTTTGGTTAAAGATGCCTCTTCAACTCTAAAATGGGAAGAATAGGAAAGATGAGGATAAGAAACAGCTTTCAAAACCCCTAGATAAGAAAACATGTTCAACTCAACTACTTTACCCATGGTATGATTACAATCAGACCTAATGGTCTAACCAGGTTTCACTGACAGGGAGAGAGAAAAATCATAGTGCCAAGGAATATTTGGTGCACCAGTCATTCCAGTAAAACACTACACTATCATAAGGTAGTTTATCAACTTTGTACTGGAAAAACTTGCATATACACTTGTAAGTAGGAATACTTGTAATAAATCTAACATACTTGTGCTCACAGAAAGTTTTAGAGGTTGGCTCTTGCTGTGATAATGTGAGAGAAAGGCATTTAGAACAAAGCAAATGAAAATCCCTTTATTATTTTTGAAAAGAAAGGATCTTTTAATTTAAAGAAAAGTCACTGTAATGAATAGAAGATTAAAAAAAGTTTATTCAAGATATTACTAGAAAACAAAAAAAACAACCCTTTTTTTTTTTTTTAGAATGGAAGAAAGTTCAAACTGGCAGTTTTAGTTTTCTATTATGATGTAATGATGTGCTTTCTTTCAGTCTCAGGAGTTTAAGCAACTGCTGCAGCTGTCTCCATGCCTTCTACAAATTAGGAGCAAAGGTGCATTTGCATCACAGGTCACTCTGACAAAAAGGTGAAGCTGGTTAAAGCAAATGCGATGTATGTAGGAATAAAAGCAAGCATGGGAGAATCAATTCCCATTTCTGTCCAAAATAGACCTCAAGGTCAAGGCACCACTAATATGAAACATTACATGAAATAAGGACTACATTTACATAGCTGATTAGTCAGAAAATATGTGAAATATGAGTTCACAAATGCAAATAATTACATCTAAGGGACCTATGAAACATAACTAAGAAATGCAGTGTAAGATAATAAGGTTACGTAAATAAAAATAAGCATGTGGATGTTTATGTTCATGTATATACACATCCAAGCCTTCTACAAGGCTTATATTCCAAAAATTATCTCTCCCTTCTGGAAAATAATTAAAAGGTTCATAAATCAAAAAAATATGAGAACTAAAGAGTATCTAAAGCAGAGTTACAGCAAGAAATTTTAGATTGAAAGATTTTTTTCAGAAAAAAACCTCTACAAATATAGAAACACATTTCACTGTATACAGAACTGGCTGGAATATTTTCTCTAAAGCACCAGTAGAAAAGAGGCCATGTGAACTGAAAAATCTATTTGAATCTCAGACCAAAAACTGCTGAACATATACTAACTAAAGTCAGATATCCATGCCTTCTTTTACATGGCTTCATGAGGAAATTGTAGCTTCTTATATGAGACTTACTCCTATCTAATTATCAGTTACTGGGAGTAACCTCTGTTCTCTTTGAGTATATGGATACCTGGCACTTCACTTTTTGATGGGAATTAATTTCTTAACACTTAGATCCCATACTTCTCTGCCTCCTTCATTTTTCTACCCAAGAGACAAAAAGAGAGATTATTGAATGAGTATTCACATCAGTTACTTGACTGACAAAAGCACTCAGTGAGAGACGAACATACAAGAAGAAAAAACAGCGCTGAGATTTCAAGTCAAGGAACACTGTTCAAAAACACTCACTTTTATAAGAATATAAACTTTCCCATTTCTTTTGATTCTTGCAAGTATGTTATGGCATCACTCGATTTGCAAATTATAATGGTGTATTTCAAAGACAGAATGATGCAAAAATGTCTTTTGCTTTGATGTTCTGGTAGATGACTGCCATTTTGATCAAAAAGAATAGTAGGGTTATAATAACTCCAAAGAGGAAACAGAGAGAAATTTAATTAAGTCTACAGTACGACTATTCCCTGACAATTTCTTATAGAAAATAGGAGCAGTCACATCTGAACACAGACCACTTCTTTGAGCTGCCTGAGCAAAGATGAGAAGAAATTTGCGTCTTAGAAATGGTAGGAAACACCTCTTCCACAAGACTTCAGAACAAAAATTCTTAGAGGTTTCAACATAAGTTGTGACCATTAAAGATATTGATACCTATAATGCAAAATTATCATATTGCCATGTCTTAAGAAAAAAACTCACTGAACCTTAAAAGATGCACAAGTACATTTCAGCTGGACAGTGTACATACTGTAGACATATGACATAAACAGGATATAGCAAACACTTTTGCCACTGCTTTTCAAAAATGCTGTCATTTTACATGATTGGCAAAATTCAGACTATGAGGACTTCAGCTGGCTAAGGGGATAGGAATGCTTCTGTTGGCTCCAAGAAAAAAAACAGAAGTGTAAGACAAGATATGTACAAGAAGAAATGAGAAGAACACTGGGGCACTTCAATCTCATTACTTTACATATAACACAGGGGCATTCAGGAATAAACATAAACCTAAGAGTTCTCTTTAAAAGATTACCACATCTGCAGGGAAAAAAATTTAAAGCCTCACTGGTGATTAAAAATCTACTGGGGGATGGGGGTTGTTTGCTCAGCAGTATCTCATCCATTTGTAATGCAAACATTTAAGAGAACGTATGCAAGGAGAGAAGACTGTACAGAAGAATTACAATACAGTACCATACAGATTTTTCAGGACAGGTGTTGTCTTCCTGATTGTCATACACAAGAAATAGCACAACAGTTTCTCATGTGGCTGTTTCCTGAGCGACATAATTACATAAACATTGTATGATCTCAGGGTCTTAACCTGTCATAACTACCTCCCTGTCATTCCACTTGTAAACAAAAGCTGAAAATGCCCAAAGCACCTGAATAAAAAAAACCTTTACAAAGAAAAACTAAATATACATAGAATGCAAATGACCAAACACCCTGAAGCACAGGAGCTAAAAAGTATTATGCATAACAGCACATCTGAGTATTAGTTATTAGTGAAGAATGACAAAACAAGCAAACCCACAGAAAGAACTCTCTAGCTAGGCAGCATTGCTAAAATAGAGGTCATAAGTGTAACTACTGATTTACCTGAATCAAAAATCAACACTGACACAGAAATTTTTAACTGTTTTTTCACATTTATAACAGGAAGTTCACTAGCATCTTCACAAACCATTCATAGCCTTCAGTGAATATAATAGTTTGATAAAATTGAAGGAGAAAATATTAAAATAATAACACAAAACAATAAGCACACAATCTAATCAGCCATTAAGAAACTTAGGAAAATTACACAAGTCTTTGCAAACTATAAAAATTGCATATAATCCCCTTAAAATTTAAAAACAAACATATCACATGATATAAATTTTTCAAATTAAGATTTGAGATCATCTCGTCCCTTAATACAAGTTGTCTACATTGGGCAGCGAAAGCTGATTTCATAAGAAGAGGGCAGCAAAAGGTTCAATACCTTCTAATGAATGATGACTTCCATCATGTGCTCCACTGGAACTTTTTCCAATAGGTATTTTAGTTCCCTCTGCACTAGTAGCCATTCTTCTATCAACTACTGATTGTTTATCATTCACCTTGGAAACCTACAATCACACAGTCAAATATTATTACTAAAAAGAGAAACAACAGCAAATATGAGATTATTTAACACTAAACAGATTAATAAAGTCAATTAAAATAGTTGTAAAATAATCTAGATTAATTTCTCAATTGCTTAGCCCCCCCTAAACCACAAGGTTCTGTTATTTATACATGCAGCAATTTATATTTTAAAGATGAATTTCATTAGACATTGAAAAGGGAAAACATTGTCACTTGGAACAATGAGTGTGCAAAATAAGCTTTGTGTCCTTTCCCACTATTTTTGTTTATATAAACCCATATATATATATGGGGAGTTTTATGATAAAACTCTTATGTTTTTATCCTCCCTTACCAATGCACTCCCCCCACCTTTGTTGCACAATATTGCATCAGGAAGTCACTTTCCAGAGAATTTTGGTCCTATTTTTCACTAAATGACTGTCACTCTAACTAATCAGCCTGTCAGTTATCATGCAGTATTGCCTGGAGTGTAATTTAAAGAAAATTACCATTTCTTCCCAACTTAAAACTATCACACACAAGAAGTTTCTTCTGAAACAATGGTACTCCAGCACTTGTTGCTGCCTGCCCCTTTATATAAAACTGAAGGCATCTTCAATTCATAAATAGCACTGCAAGATCAAAAGCTTAGTTCTGTAGATTCTAAATTATTTTTTCAATGTATTGATGCACATCACTTATATCTACAGAGCATTACAAAAATACTTACCTGGAATTTAACTCTGTTATGTGGTGGTCTTACAGTGCAACAGTTTGGAATTCCAATCCAGAAGTGATGAGTCTTGGAAAAGGTGCAACTACACAGTCTGCCTTCTTTCAACCGGAGCAACAGTATTTGAGCACTATAAAGATTTTTAGCAGTCCACATTTTCTTAAAAGTGACGTCTGGATGCAGATGATGTGGTAACGAAACTGATACTCTGTTTTACCATAAAGTTACAAAGGAAGCGTCAGTATGTGAGCTTGGATACCATAGAAGCACACGGTAAAAACCTTCTTCTAGGCATAACCTGTTTAAAAGACATTAGGGATACTGTAACAAGGTCCTCTTCACACCCCTCTCACTTAAAACACACAAACGCATTAACAGCTGATTCACTCCACAATGGAACAGTTCCAGGGAGAACTTCTGTTCAGTAGCTCCTCTCTCTCTTTCACCAGCCCCATCTGGCACCCTGCTGTTCACCACTGACCATGAAGTCAATCGTTCATTTGAGAAATAGGGAGGATTAAAACTGCAAATAATGCAAAAAGCAAGCGAACAAACTGTCCCTTATCATTAACAACGTGAATACAGTGTCCCCTTCAACTTCTGCTGAACAACGCGGAAGGAGCGATCCTGCAACTTCAAACAACTGGTTCACAAAAACAAAGTACCGATGTCAGGATCCTAGTAAGAAAAACCCACAGCAGGCTGGCTGGTATACGGCAAGCCTTGTAATTTTCTATGCTACAAGGATATAGTAGGGGTCACTCACAAACCCAGTGCAAGACTGGTTTACACCTAGCAAGACTTTGACCATAATGTGCGGAAATACCCTCGTTTAGACGAAAAGGTTCCCGACAGACTCCAGTGCAAACAAAACCGGTGTGACCCCGAGCAGGCCAGGTCTGAGCGGAACTCTGCCAACTTCCAACTTCATCTCGACCAAGTGACCGCGTTACAAGGTTTCTGTTTCATCTCGTGTGCTCTGAGATCAGACCTACGGCGCAACCGGGTTTGTCCTTTCCCCACTCCCGCCCAGCAAACAGCCGACACAGACAGGCAGAGCAGAGCTGCAAGGTGGGACAAGCTCTTTAAAGGCAACGAGCGCCGAACGCCCAGTGATAACCGCGGGCACACAGCGCCTGGGGCAGTCGCGGCGCCTGTCAAAGCTGGGAACTCAGTGCAGGCGGGCGATCCCTACGCGGGACACGTCCCTTCGGAGCCAATAAACCCGACCCCGACCCCGATCCTTCCTGTCTCCCTCCCCGCAGGCTCCTGCCCCAGCCTCTCCCGGGGGGGTTCTAACGTGGCCTACGCGAAGCAGCAGCGGCACCGTGCCCGTCTCGTCCCCACCTCCCCCGTCAGCGGCCCCGTAGGCAGCCCCAGCGGCGACAGCGGCGGCTACTGCGGCTCGGGCTCGGGGTCGGGGTCGGGACCGGGAGGTCGCGGGAGGTCGCTGCGGTGCCGCCCGGCCCCGGCCCTTGGAACCGCCCCCGGCCCCGCCCCCCGCGCGCCTGCGCAGCGCGGGCCCGGCGGGTGCGGGGACCCTGCGGCGCTCCGAGCGCCCGGAACGCTGCGCTGAGGGCGGGCCGTGCCCACGGGAGGCGGCTGCGGGGGCGCCGTGCCCGGGGGAGGTGGCTGAGGGCGGACCGTGCCCGGGGGAGGCGTCCCCGGCCCGCCCCTGCCGCCCGACCGGAGGCCGCTGGGTTGGGTGTGCCGGCGGGCCCGGCCCGGCCCGGTCCCTCCGGGGGCTGTCGCTGCCGTCGTGTGGGCGGGTGTCCACATCCCCAGCACCGCCCCTGTGCCGCGACGCGCGCGTGGGAGCGTCGGGGTAGTGGCGGGGTGACCTCGGGGTGGCAATAAAGATTAATTTTTTATTATTATTATTATTATTTTATTTATTTTTATTTTTTTTTTGGTGAGTGTTTGTGTCATTACACCCTTCTAGAGGGCAAGAGCCAGAGCAAACATGGCTCACAGATTCAAGGTGCTGTGGATACTCGGGCCAGCAGCGGATGAAGGAGGCACAGGCTTTACTGAGGGAGAACAAAGATGCCTGTGGGAGAGAGGTGATCATGTGTGAACTCTCCCTGGAGTCTGTCGGGTTAAAACTAAACTGGGGAAAACCCACTATGTTAGATTTAACAGAGATTAGACTCCTTCACCCGTGCCATCCATTACCCTTGCTTTTTACTGGTATCTCAGAGATGCTGGGATGGATTTGGAATAGAAGGAGATGCAGCTGTTTTGGTGGTGGAACCATGGCAGCTTCTGTTGTCTAAAGCATTTGTGCAGAGTTTAGCCAATTTTTCAACTACTAAAGAGCAATAGTTACAAAACAGAGCCCTGGGATTTTCTTACAGAAACCACAGTCTGATGGCGGAGTTACTGTCTGCTCTTTTACATCATCCTGCACCCTTCCTCCAGATTTACAGGATGAGCTTTTAGATGAGAATACCAGATGAGCCTTAATGGTGAAAAAAATCTTGCCTTAATTATAGTCAGAGAGTTCTGACTATAGTTAGAGTTCTAATTTGCAGTGGTCTGTACTATCATTAGGACCACACTTGCATCTAAATTAATACTTGGTTGACAGCTGTGGCAAGTACAAAGATCATAAACACAGGAGGAGGACCTTTCTTATGCTTTTAAATGTGTACTCAAGTACATTGGTTAGCCTCTTGTTCCTTCTGTACTGTGTTTTATCTATTAATGAACTGGAAAATGAGTGATGTAGATTAAGCTGAGTTGGTGTAAATTAAACCTTTAATCATAGATAGTTACAAGTATAAACCAAGCAAGTCATTGCGAAGGACAGCAAATGAGATGGCGTCTCAAATGTAGCAGCTGGCACTCAGAATCAGAGAATCATTAGGGTTGGAAGGAACCATTGGAGATCATAAAGTCCAACCCCCCTGCCGAGGCAGGGTCACCTAAAGCAGGTGACATGGGACAACGTTCAGGTGGGCTTTGAATGTCTCCAGAGAGAGACTCCACAACCACCCCAGGCAGCTTGTTCCAGTGCTTTGCCACCCTTAACATAAAGAAATTCTTCCTTATGTTGAGATAGAACTTCTTGTGTTTTAGTTTATGTCCATAAAAAAGAAATACTCATGTCTCCTTTGGCCTAAAGACTTCTTAAGGACATTGAGGTGCTGGAGAGTGTCCAGAGAAGGGCAATGAAGCTTGTGAAGAGCCTGGAGCACATGGTCTATGAGGAGCAGCTGAGGGAACTGGAATTGTTTAGCCTGGAGAAAAGTAGACTAAGGGTTACCTTATCACTCTCTACAACTACCTGAAAGGAGGGTGTAGCCAGGAGACAGTTGGCCTCTTGTCCCAGAAAGCCAGCGACAGGACAAGAGGAAATGGCCTCAAGCTGTTCCAGGGAAGGTTCAGGTTGGACATCAGGAAGAATTTCTTCATGGAAAGGGTTGTTAAACATTGGAATGGGCTGGCCAGGGAGATGGTGGAGTCACCACCCCTAGAGGTATTTAAGGAAAGACTGGACATGGCACTTGGTGTCATAGTCTAGTTGACATGGTGGTGTTTGGTCATAGGTGGGACTCAATCTCAGAGGTCTTTTCCAACCTAATTGATTCTGCAAGTCTGTGATTCTTTGGTTCCATATCTCAACTCAATCCTTTCTCTTTCCCATAAGTAGACTCAATCAGATCCTTATTCATTAAGTGTCAAAGCTTATTTCATCTGCTGCATGTTCATGTTTAGATAAATTTATCTATATTCAACATTTTTATAGCATGACATACATCTTTCATTCTTTGCTCCTTTAGTAGTTGTTTTTTGTAATACTCTGACATTTTCTTAAGAATAAAATGTTTAAAAAGGCTTACATGAGTTACATAAATGTTTCAATGATTTTACAACGTGGTGTTTGTCAGAACAGGTATTTTGGAGCACCAATATAGTTAAGTTACAAGGCATTTGAAAGTGTGTGTAAAATCATTTCCCTTCACAGACTAAGCTATAGAAGCAAAAGGCACTTTTGGTATAACAGCACTTTAACTTTATTATATTTTTAGTCAGCGCAATTAACTTGGGTAGTATTGTGACTACTGTAACGTGTCTCTGTCAGTAAGACTGAATTCTTACTTCTCAGATTTAAGGCCCTCATGAAAAATAAGGAGACATATAAAGAAAATCGTCAAGAGTCAAACTTGACTTGAAAGTCTTCTTTTATCACTGACAAAGTATATATTTTAAAAATATGTCTCTTTTCTATAAACTCTACATAATAAAATAGTGAGGAGGATGGAAGATTCTTGTTATGGATAGCTGTCATTAAAGGATTTATGCAGGGTTTTTTGTTACATTAATTCAAATTGGCCTGTATCCAAATGCTGATACATGGATTGAAATGTTCAAGAAAATATAATGATTTATGGCAGTATAATAAAATCTGCAGAAATGTATAATCATGCATTACAATGAAAAGGATAAGCTTTTCTTATGGCATAAACATGAAAATAGAGGTTAGTGCTGAGCAACTAATACTCAAACTTGAGGGTTAGACTGGTGGCCATTTAAAACTAATTAATTTTCTTCATCTCAGTGCTAAAAAAAGAGGAGTGTGACACCTTCTGTCTAGAAGTCCATTCAGGTGTCTCTGTCTAAGGATACCAGATCCATTGCTGAAGTTACCCAGGTATGTAACCGTGGCTCAGACTTTTGAGGAAATTGCTATGTTGGGGAGGGGGCTGAAGCTGTTAGAACGTCTGAAGAGGAGCTTCCTGTGAGATGAGAAAGCTGCAATTGCAGACAGAGTAAGACAAGGGAAAGCACTGAAATGGGCAAGTATAAAATCATAACAAAAAAAAGAGTGTCAGAAAGAGGCATGGTTGTGGCTGTGCTCCAGGGAGCTGAAAGAGCTGCCCTTTCTCCTTCCTGACTTTTGCTTGTCTGGCTAGCAGGGCAAAGTGTATGCTTATGTCTTATAAAGGTGGTGAGCACATTAATGTCTAACCTAATAGTGATCATATAAGTATTATAACCAATAAATATTTTTTATACTTCTAAGCTGAGTACATCCTGCTCACAGAATCACTTTGTGCTTGACTAAGGTGTCCAAACAGGGACTCAAAGAGGACTGGTTACAGGACACAGAAGTTTACAAATAAAGCAAATGTGGGAATTGTCCCCCAGAAAAGTGAGATCAAAAGAACAGAGGTACTTCCAGACAAAAACTACCTGGTTTTGGAGGGAGACCGGTGACTTCATAAGGTGGAAGACGGATGGGATATTAGGTTGGAAATGCCTGACTACAAAGGAACTGTGGGAGAAAGGTGTTAACAAACTGAAGATTTGTTGAGGCTCATGAGAGAGAATAACATTAGCAGGAGGTTTTCAGAAGGCAAAGTTCAACAACTGTCTTGGAAACCAGTTCTGATACTAATGACCAATTTTATGAAATTAGATTTAGCAACCTCTAGCAAGATTTCAAAATTGTATAGACAGAATACTGAAATATGTAATCAAAAAGGGAAAAGTAAAAACATAAAGAAGTTCACTATGTTGAAAAGCAAGGTTCATCATTGAGTCATGACTGGAATCTTAATAAAGTGTACTTCCTCATAAGGTGTACAAAAAGAATTTTCAGGAAAAAATTACTTTTAAAAAGATATGTTTTGTGAATGATAACTTCGAAAGGAAAAAAAAGACAGTCTGACTGTAAATAAGTATGAAGGTGAAATGCAGTCTGTGACATTATATAGGAAGACAATTTGTCAGGGCAGGGAATGCCATTACTTTTTTTTCATTAATTCCTTTTTCCAGTTCCTGTCCTACTTCATTTCAAGTCTGTGGGAAACAAATATAAAACACTGGGATTACATCTTTGCCAGTGGACTTTGTTAGTAAAGGGTAACATTACTAAAGCCAAGGCAACAGTCAGCAATTAAGAGTGGGCTTGAATTTCATAGAATACAACATAGGTACAACTTGAATTAATTGTTGGGTCAACAGGAAAAACATCTAAACTGCCCAATTAAAATTTTCCTTAGCAATGCTTAAAGAATCTTGTATTTGTCATATGTTATGAAATATGAATCTATCCTAGAAAGCTCGAATATAGGTTACCATACCAGAAATCCATCAATCAAAGGACTTTCCAGATGCAGCCCTATAATATGGCCTCTCAGACAGAATCAAAACCTATATATATATATATATTTATATGTAGAGTATGAGACAGTTCTATTTAGTTGATTCAAGGCAGAAGGCTAA